CGACCCATTTCCACAACTTTTTGATAATGCATTGTAGTTAGGGGTTGTTAATACCAGGAATAAATGAGACCATTACGTTGCTTGGTAATTATTAAAAACAAGAGAAACTAGGAAAGAGACCCCTTAGAGACTTTTTGGATTTCAGTGATTCCTTGTTTATGTACTTAAATTTAATAAATTAGGATGTACACTACCACACAATGTTAATATAGTCCCAAAACTTTGGTGCAGAATGGTGACGCCTGTTTTAAATATGTTTGTTTTGTTTTTTTCCTTTTGTGATCTACCTGTCTGCTCTTGATAGTGTAGTACTTGCCTGTTCTGCTTTCTGCTGCCTCATCAGTTCTGAGGCTGCAGATCTTAGGATCCTGTCAACAGTGCTTTGGTGTTAGAACTGATGGGTGTGCCGTGCTCTCCGCTGTTCTGAGCATCAGTCATCTGAACACTTCGCCTCAGGAAGGAAATCGATCTCCTGCCAAGTTCAGGAGAGAGCGAGATGAGCAAGAGAGATAGGGAATGAGAGAGGGAAACGCGTACCCACACCTGCAGCTCTTCCCAGGTAGAAAACTGTGATAGATCTTCTGTCAAAACTAAGAGAGTGTCAGTTTACTATTATAACAGATGGAGGTTCTAAAAGCTGAAAACAGACAGTGTTTTACAATGCCTAATCAGCTAAAAGCCCAAGAGGAAGTATCTGATTATGCACAACTGTTTACAGTCCCAGCTCTAACTGAAGCTCATTTTTTAATTTCAAGTATGGGCACTGAACTGTTGCTCCATCACAACAGAAAATCACTGAAGCTAAATTACTTTTATAGAATTGTAGCTTATTATAGGTGACATATTAAACTCAGAAGGTAAACTCTACATTGGATCACAGAATATATTAAGCAAGATGCTACAAATCCACCATCATTTTGTAACATAAATTTCCAGTAATGAATAATTAATGAATAATAAATGATTTGTACATGCTTTTTTTTGCCAACCAGTAATTCTTTCTTCTGAATTATCTGAAGATTTGTGAGGTTTTTTTTTCTCCTGACATTTCTGCTTACATTGTTTCATTTTTTAAAAGGTTTAAATTATTTAAAAGTAAAAGGTCTATGTACTGCAGAATGTACAGTACATGAGTATATGAGACTCTGAAAGAGGTACCAGCTAAAGCCAGCAGTTCCATTACTGCAGCCTTTAAGCATATCCCCTTTCTGGTCACCAAGAAAATGCTTTATGCTATGGTTTAAAGTGAGCCAATATTTGGCCTACTTACTGCTTGTCATTTAATTTCTTTTTTTTTTTTACATCAAATCCTGTCTCTAAAACTCAACAAAGGTCTTTTCTCCCCTTCTTTAGGACGACACATGATGATTTGGTTTGTATTTTTCATAATTAAAGCTCTGTGTGTGTAGGTGTGTGTGTGTGTTGTGTGTACTTGTTTGTGTGAGGAGAAAAAAAAGAGACAGTAAGAGAGAAAGTTTGTGGGGAGAGGAAATATTCAAAGCAGAAATGAAATGATAAATATGTAAATGCATCACCATCACCTGCTTGGTTTCCAAAGTAATATGCTAGCTGACATCCAGATGTGTCTCTATTACAAAATTTCTATGACATAGTGTGTGCTGCAAGATTGCAAGTTATGTTTCTAATAAAAGCATAAAATGTCAAGTGTTTTGTATGTTTTAGTCCAAATTATTAAATGTAAATATGTTCAGTGGATTTATAAAAGAACAGAAAATAGTCTATGTGTGAGACTGTGTGCAGTTCTTAGTAAGTTCCCATACTCTCCTCATACTTTTTGACAAAAGGCCAATGTAGTCTTTCTGGTGTTGATATATTTACTGTACATATATTGGATGTGCCACAGTGGTTCAGGGTAATCAAAGTTTAAGGTAGGTATGAACGACATAAAAACAGGTTATATGTTATATTTAGTTTTGAAGGGTAATCTGTCACCTAACCAGTATTTGGAAGAGTTTTTCTAGCTGCCCTACTAAGTAACCCATACTCTGCAGATTATTGAGTTCGCTAAGGCTGTTAAAGAGTGAAGCAATAGACTGTGAGTTCCCACAGTTGTGTTATTGGACTTGAATTTCCAGCTATTTCATCTCCATTCTTGGTGTGAATGACTTGCTAGTACTCTCAGGTTTCCTGTCATATGCATAGAAGCTGACACTTCATGCTCAATGAAAACTGCATAAAAAAGTCATCTAACTTGAGTCACTTTGAGCTATGGCCTGTTGTAAATTAAGCTATAATAGAAGAAGACTAGATTAGAAAATAGAAAAAGAAACAGACTTGAAGGGATCAGATTCAGAACTGACAATTCAGAAGTGTTTGGCTATTTCTTATGAATATCAAGCATATACACATCAAGCATGTACTTTCTTCCTACAACATATATAGTAGGAAGAAAGTAAACGTCTTTCAGTTCTTAGATTTTACATATCAGGACATAATAAAAATCAGCAGGTATTAAAACTAAGCAAAAATGCTGAAGTAGTCTGTGACAAATTAAGTACACAATTACTGCGTCCATAGGAAATGAAAGGGTGAGTAGCAGTCAGGTGCTGATAATCAAATATACTTGATAATTAGATCATCAGCAAATGTGCCCATCTCTCTAAAAGCTGACATTTTGTCAGTTTGCTTGACTGGAGCATTCAGATGTTTTAGCAAATTGACAAGGAGGAAAGACATCTGCAGTGATCTTAGAAACAATTGTTGCTGCCTATCAGTCTGGAAAGGGTTATGCAATTCCAAACACTTTAAAGTCCATTATTCAAGTGGGGAACATTCAAGATAGTTATCAGTATTCCAAGCGGTTTATAGTAAGTCCAAGAAAACTCAACCCAAGGTTAGATTATGCTATGCTCAGAGGAACTACAAAAAATTGAAGAGCTGCATCTCAGGCTCAACAGGCCTTATGAACTTATGATCTTTAACGTGTTACATGTTAAAGTTCATAAGAATAGAAACTGGGAAAAAGCAGAACAAGTATGGTTTTTTTTGTAAAAGTTGCCAGGAAACGCATCTTCTCTGTACAGCAAAAATAAAACAAAACACAGCAGCATAGCTTAAGTTTGCAAAATTGTATCTGAACAAACCACTGAGACTTCTGGAACAATGTCCTTTGGACAGATGAGGACCAAAGTGAAAATGTTTGGCCATAAAGCACAGAAAACCAAACAGAGCATGCCAGCACAGAAACCTCAAACCAACTGTTAGGCACAATGGTGGAGGAGGAATGATTGGGCTTGTTTCGCTGCCAGAGGAACTGGCAGCGAAACCTTGGCGTTAATGAGTTGATTGAAGATTGATTGAAAAGTGAAATGTGAGGACATTTAACTGACAGCTAAAACATGGCTGAAACTGGGTCAATAATCCAAAGTACACCAAGAATTCTACAAAAGAATGGCTAAAACAAAGAAAGAATCAAGGTGTTGTAATGGCCCGGTTAATGTCCAGACCTCAACCAATTAAAAATGAAGTGGAGGTACTTTAAGAAAGTTCCCACAAACCTCTCTAAATTGAACACTGTTAAGAAAAAAAATGGTCAAAAATCCTGCACATTATGTAAAACACTGATAAAATCATATTAAAAAAATACTTTGACTTTCTGTTGTTCTACAAGCTATTCAGTCATTTTGACTTCATCTTTGTTATCTTTGCAACACCAAGTATGACCTCTCTGAGTTAAGTACATTTTTTTTACCAGTACACTTATTTACACTTAGAATAGAATAAGAGTGGGGCTTTCAACATCCCATTGTGACCTGTTAGACACAGCATGTGAGAATGTAACTCTTAAAAGTCCCAACCCAATTGTGGATCATATTAACTTCTCCACAATTGTGAAGGATAGAATATTTCACTGTCATTCAAAGTTTGTGCCTCCACAATTATTTTCTTGTTTCATATTTCAATTATTTCATCCTCCATACACATTGTTTCTTACTGTGTATCTGTTGTTTTTCACACTCTGTTTTTCTTGCTCTCAGAGTGAGGTAGGTATTAATACTAAACACCATCAAAGCTTCAGGGCTCTCTTGAGCTCACCAGGCTGACCCATAGAGAGCCATAACAGTGATATACATTCTACATAAAAGCAATAAAACATTTAGTGGAAATGACTTGGACACAACTGAATTGCAATAATGAATATGTCAGACAATTGCAGAAAAGACTGCTGCTTAGCTTTCTTGCCATATTTAATGAAATGCTGTCAGTATTGTGCAGTAATTTACTGCACAGGAATGATCAAAGACAATTATTAATGTGTTTATGCTTTATATGATTGGTGAACACGTTCTGCATTACATTCAGTTGAGTGATATTTTATGCTTAAAAAGGTCCTATAAAATAAATTCATACTCCATATTCTACACACTAAGTGTGTATTAAAAATAATATATTTGCATTAACGATGATTCTGTAGACTTCCATTTAGTTATAGCTATAGACTTATTTTCAAAGTTATACATACATTTCACTGATAGAAATATTGCCTTTACTTTTTAAATGGAATAACTATCTATCTCTCTCTCTATATATATGTGTGTGTGTGTATATATACATTCTCACACACACACACACACACACACACACACACACACACACACACACACACACATATATATATATATATATATATATATATATATATATATATATATACACACACACCCACACAGGGTTGTTATTTAAACAATTAGAATTTTAGTTTCTGGTGATATCAAACAGTGCTAGAAAAAGAAAGGAAAATATGCCATCACTCTTGGGTTTACCCACTGTAGCCACCCAGACATATTTTAATAACATGTCCACATGTCTCATTTATCACCATATGGTTGTCAGACTGGGTATGTGCCAGTCTAGTGTGTATATCCTAGGTAATGAACAGACCACCTCCTCCAACACAGCTAAACATTTAACTTTTAATGAACACCTGAGAGAAAAAAATAGAAAAGGCAAAACTTTTCATCATTCTTACTTTCTTAGAACTCGAAATGAAGTCCTCCATCATTCCTTGTGAAGCATCCAGGTGCAGGGAGTGTATAATACATGTCATATTTAGCATCTTGTCTCTATCCTTCAAAAAAGCAATCAGAGTGGCAAACATTAGTATGCTCTGTGCAGAGATGATATGCTATAAGATTTCTAGGACATGTACATCAGTGGTTTATCATACACAAGCACCTCACTCCTGTATCTGAGATACCAAATCAAGGTGTTCATAGATTTAGCTTTTCTTACATTTAGATGAGCTTAAAACAGTCATGCCAGATTGTAAAGTGGCAGAAATGGGATGTATCAGGCTGGAAAGTTTAGATCAAGGCTAGCAAGCAAAATCAGTAAACGACTTTGTTTGTAGACAACCAACATTGGACGATAAAAGTTGTCATCCAGAAACTGAGACTAGATGCAGAAATGCACAGATTTACATGGAACTATCTGGATCTTGCCCCAAAATCACAAAAATACCATAGATGCATTTCTTCATGCGTAGAGAATCTCATCTGTTTCCAGGCTGTGTCACCACAAGTTCTGTGAGTTGAGCCAACAAGCTGTGGAAATATAAACCAGTGAAAATATAGTTATGTCCAGTAAATATTTGGACTACAGCACCGTTTTTGTATATTTGTCTTTATTTGTCACTATAGTGGATTTTAAATCATGCAATGAACATGAATGTGATTTAAAAGCAGATTCATCTTTAATTCAGCAGCATAAATGATGTATATACAGTGTGTTTTTCTATCACATGTGCAATGCACACACTGCTAGTTAGAAAAGGTTTTCATTGTGAGATTTTGACAAAAAATGGGTTACCTTCAAAAGTGCAGTCCTGTCTTGAAAAATGAAAAAAAAAAATGAAAGAGAGAGGAAATATGAGATATGATTAAAAACATTAAGGCAAAACTGACAAACAGGTGATGCAAAAAGGCACAGAATGAACCCAGACTGGACACTGACTGATTTATCTTGCGACAGAAGCTCCGATCAACAGAGACAAGTTAACTAGATTGTGAACGACCTACAAGTATTAAGGAACAATGGCTTGGGACATGGGATAATTTGTGATTAAATGTACAATCTGTAAAAAGCTTGCTTTGTCTCTCTCTCTCTCTCTCTCTGTCTCTCTCTCTCTCACACACACACACACACACACACACGGACACATCTATTCCAGTATAAATGACAATTGTGGACCAACCGCACTGGCAGAATGCCAAGATAATCAGTGAACACTGAAGAGGCAGCTAATTAATAGTCACTGCAAGCTGATAGTTTGAAAAGATTAGCAGCTTTCTGGAGAGTTGAGAGGACATAGATATGCCTGTCAGGATCAATCCATTTGAGTAATACACACACACACACACACACACACACACACACACACACACACACACACACACACACGTTTGTGTTTGTATGTCGGTATGTAGACATGTTAGGTAGAAGTGCATTGAATGCAGTGAAAAACAGCAAAAACAAGGAAAAAAAATCCAATCCCAAGTTGAAGCTCATTATTTTCATTATTTTCATACATCACATATTTTTATTCCAATTTGAATCTTTATTATAAAGATGTCAGAATGATGGTACGCTGAATATTAAAACAAGAGACATCAAGAGATAGTCTTCACCCTGTACTTGAAGCTTCATATTCATTTCATTTCAATTCAATTTCATTTATAAAGCACTGAATCACAACAACAGTTGCCTCAAGGCACTTATATGAAGCTCTCAGCATCCTGCCAGATTGTTTTAACTTTTCCAGTTTTGTTTCAGAAGTAGAAAGGCAGAGGGTGTTGTAATAGGCAATGCAAACTTACTAAAAAGATTAAAATTACAATGAATTCACTCTGTTGGTAAGACAAAAATGTCATTGCTATTTTGTATAAGGCACTCTTTAAAAAAAAGAAGCAAACAAACAAGCAAATTAAAACAGGTATTTCTAGGCTTTTCAAACAATTAAAACTACACATTAAAAAGTCTGAGAATCTAGAAAATGTCTGTATGAAACAGCAGAAACTTTTCCGAGAATGTGTCATTTTATTTAAGCTAAATCCATAAATGCAGTAACAGGCTAAGTTTTTCTTTTTAAGAGTTAGTATATCTCTTATCTCTTAACATGTAAAATGGGTCAAGATATAAGAAATGTGTCAAAACAGTGATACTTAATTTTACAACTTAATTCATAAAAAACAACAACAATAAAAAAACAACAAAAAACAGTTGTCATCTAACAAGTGGTCCAAGTACTAAGCAAAGAGTTTGTTTGGACAACCAAAAATATCCACACTGAAAGCCTTATTTTGACAGTGCAAAAATGTGATAAATAAGTAAACAATGCTTCTGGTTTAACTGGCACACTAAATACAGGTTTGAAAACTATAAACTCTTCACACTGCTTGGTGGTGGCCAGAAACAAAACTTTCATCAACAGCAAATATACTTCACATCTAACTGGGCACCGTGCAAGTGGTGGAAATGAGCCATCTTAAAAAAAAAATTCAGGTTTATATGGTGGAATAATCTGTAATAATGCAGCTCTCCTCTGGCTAAACAATGTGTTCCCCCTGTGTTTGTGTCCTGAGGACTGTTGTTTTTGAAAAGAGAAACAAATGGATGAAACCTGCACTTACCATGTTTTTACTCTCTCATCAGGTGTGCTATTGTTTCATCCTTTAATATTTTTAAAAAAGGAAAAAATTATTTTAGTAAGGTCACATTTTGCACAATCACTTGTCATCCAAGCCTTTTATGGGATATGAAATTAAAAATATGACAAACTAGACCCCCAACTGTTAAACATTCTTGATACAGTAAGTATGGGAAACATTTAGCTCTCTAAAATAAATCAATTGACCTTTTTGGTTATTAATTGCTTAAAAAGCTTTAAACTTCACCTTGTCCAAACTTTTTTGGACACATATTGTTAGCAGCAAATACAGGATTATAATATGTGATTTGCATGAGAACTGAGAATTATGGCAAAATTTGTAATTTATGGTGAAAAACATAATAGGAGAAAAACACCTTTAGGACCTGCGTCCACATATGTGGACATCACATTTTTGGTTATTTAGACCCAAATACTCAATTTTGCTCTACAAGGGCCTGATATCCACTTAGAAGGACATTATACTGCTACTGTTCTATTGAAATTTTAAACAAATATCCTCATTTGTGGCTCTTATTTTTCTTAGAAACAAAAATTGGGTTAAAAAAAAAATCTGGTAATTCTTTGTTTTTACATTCACTGGGCCCCAATATGTCCAAATATCAAAGAAAAATTAAAAATACATGCTGTGGAAGAGTTTGGGTCTTAAAACAAAAACATGAGAAATAAACTTATAGGGAAAGACAAAAGTTAAAATAGAAAAAATGAAATAGAAACAGATATTTCCTTGTGCCAAGGAGATAAAGACAGTTTGTTGCCTAAGTCAAAGGACGGACGTCAAATTGATTAAAAAAGAAACTGACATGTCTTCACAAACATCCCAGAGGAGAGACAAGAGTGAGAGAAACAAGCAGAGTGAAAATGACACGACTGAAAGAGAAAGCAGCAACAGAGAACAGTGCCCGTGGTAGAACAGAGCCAAAGACAGACGGACCAATGACACCCTAGGCAATCTTTTTAGCAATTTACTTGACATAGAAAATGGACTGTGAAATGTCAGCAGACTCCAAAACAGCATTTCATTCATTTTGATACAACCCAATATGATGATTAAAAAAAAAAAGAAAGAAGGAAGATTATATATATATATATATATATAACATTTAACAGGACGATTTCAGCTTTAATGAGATGTACTTTTGTGTTCAAATACAATGAAATTCTAGATAAGTTAACAACAAAAATTAAGTATATTTAGAATGTATGATGTGTTCCTTTATAATTAGCATTTTCTACTTTTTTCAGTTATTTTTATTGAGAGCACTGGGAGAAGCAATGTATGTTGTATGCATATAGAAGAGTCTTCGAAATATAGCACTATCTAAAAAAGAAGGAAAAAAAACGGTAAATAAGTCATAATTATGGACTTCAGAATGGTTCAATGCAAAACAGCCTCAGATTTGGGGAAAACAACAACAACAACAACAAAAACAAAACAAAACCCCAGAAAGATCAGGAAATCATTTTGACATATCAGATCAGGTCCACTGACCAAATTTGACTCAAGCTCCATAGAACTACTAACCAGAAAGCGTGTGTTAAAGAACAGCATTTGGAGAGTGTTACAGACATTATACAACCAATTTCTGACAAAGACATTATGAGGAGCTAACCCCTTTTATCAAGCCCTAAAAGTACAAGACACTTTGATAAATCATATGCAGTTATAGTATAAAGTATAGTAAATGGGATAAAACATGCAAAACATAGTAATTTCCTTTTAGAGTCTGGTGCAAAAGTTCAGAAAGCAATACTGTACCAAAACACTTGTTCTCTATGTCCCAAATCTGATCTCAAGCACTGTGTGGGTGAGTGCACATGCTCATGACTGTTTGTGTGCATGTTCTCAAAAGAGAGACTATGCCTCCCTTTTTTGGATTTTTAATGTCCTGTGCTGGATGCCAGATGCCAACTTCCCGCACACATGCACAGTCTACAGACTGAGCCTGTAAGTGTGTTTATTACCTCCCGTCATTGGACAGTAAAGAACAGGAAATGTTTTTCCTCCTCCTCTCACCTTCACACACTCACACACACACAAACACACTCTCATTCACACTACCTCTGTCACTCCCTTACTCTTTCTGTTTCCTCCTGTCTCTCTTTACTCCTCTCATGTGGCCTCCCACATCCTCTCTGGGTACCAAAAAAGGCTTAAGGAATTTATAAGAGTTTATTTTATTTTGGTTCTTAATATATTTTCTGGACCACTGAATTATTGCTTTTGTGTAAAAGCGTGGGAGTCAGAGCATGAGAAATAGTAGAAGCCTTTTTAAAGCACGTTTTAGTTTCAGTCTACTTCTTCGCTCAGGATTTCAACAGACCCATGTCTTGTTACAGCCTTGCCACTGACTCCTTCAGTCAATGTTAGTTTGCATTTACATTCAGGGACGCAATTTGATTTCAAATCAAGAAATAACAGAAGTTTGAGTATAAAACCATCGTTTCCCAATAGAATTAATGTTTAATTATTTAGTCCAGGTATGTTTGATTTATGGGTAGTTAAGGGGCTCTCTGTGTGCTACACAATTGCTGAATAACAGCATAAAGAGTATAGTCACAGGGAAGAAGTCAGTAAAAATAGAACTTACATGCATGTAAGTTCACCATCATGCACCATAGTATAAAATATAAGACTTCTGACTTGTGATGTATTGTCAATATTAACAGGTGAAATCTTGATTAACTGAACTGCAAGAACTCAGTGTACTTAATACTATATTTTAAGCATATCTACCATAAGTCTGTTGCACTTTGTGTGAATCATAAATCTACCTAGCTTTTAATTATATTTGGGAATATTAAATTAATAATAGTATTCTTAATGTAATTTCAAATATAATAGGTTCAATGACAAATGCAAAGCCTCAAACTTATACTTAGGAGAAATACAATTAGGCCCATATATATTTAGACACAGACACAAGTTTTTTTTGTTTTTTTTCCTTCTTCTTCTTCTGCTGTTTACTGAAACATATTCCAATTATAATTGTATAATGTATATGGACACAATGTATAGGTCCTCAGATGATTGCATTTGGAAGGTTTTACTGTGAACAGACTAAAAGCTGTCAAGCAAGCTCTCCATGCAGGTGAAGCAAGCATCCATAAGCTGTGAGCACAGAAAAAATGAATCCAAGAAATTGCTACAATAGTAAGAGTGGCAAAATCTACAGTTTGGTACATCCTGAGAAAAAAAGAAAGCACTGTTTAACTCAGCAACACAAAAGACCTTGAAAGTCTATGGAAGACAACAGTGGTGGATGATTTCAGAATCATTCCCATGGTGAATCGAAACCCCTTCACAACAGCCAAAGGAGTGAACAACACTCTGCAGGAGGTAGGCATATTGATATGCAAGTCTACCATAAAGAGAAGACTTCATGAAAATTAATAAAGAGGGTTCACTGCAAGGTGTATGCCATTCATAACTCTCAAGAATACAACTTTTCTAAAAAACCAAAAACCAAACCAAGATCAACCTCTACCAGAATGGTTGCAAGAAAAAGAGAAGGCACGTAATAGCTCATAATCCAAAGCTTACCATATCATCAGTCAAACACAGTGGAAGCAGTGTCATGGCTTGGACGTCCATGGCTGCCAGTGGCACTGGGACACTAGTGTTTATTGATAATGTGACACAGGACAGAAGCAGTCGAATGAATTCTGAGGAGTTCAGAGAAATACTGTCTGCTAAAGTCCAGCTAAATGCAGTCAAATTAATTGGGAGGTGTTTCATAATGCAAATGGACAATGACTCAAAGCCATCAAGGAGTTTATTAAAGCAAAGAAGTGGAATATTCTTGAATGGCCAAATCAGTCCCCTGATCTTAATCCAATTGAGCGTGCATTTCACTTGTTGAAGACTAAACTTTAGACAGAAAGCATCTGGTGAAGTGTATGAGTTTAAGACATCAGACTGTCATGAAAGTTGAAAGTCTGCATTTCAACTGCATCTGAATTGTTTCATTTAAAATTCATTGTGGTATTGAAAAAAGGTTGTCTCTGTCCAAATATTTCTGATGTGTAACTCTCTTAACATTCAGGCTTGTGGCAACAGCAACAGCAATAGTAATAGCAAATAGCTAAAATCAACTAAAACAAAATAAAATAACACAGAAATGTGCTTCTAAAAGTCTCTTTAACATATGGCATATGCTCCCAGTTTCTTGTGGCATGATAGCCAAAGGCTGCTTCCAAGGCTTTTGTCCTGTACTTTGTACTTGTCTGTATAAGCAGACTGTTGCTGGAGGACCTGAGAGGCTGAAATAGTCCATACACTGCAAGCAAGTAAGGCATATTAGAGCAAAACCATGGCCTATCTAAAGTGATTTTAAAATTAATATATAGCATAACCTGAGAGAAAATGATTTTGGGGGCATGAAAACTGGTGTGCATAGTATTGGGATTTATACTTTGGAATTGGTTGTAGTTCATTTGTAACATTTTTGAATAAACAAGACAGAAAAGAATGACCACAGTCAAGACAGCATTAGGCAACGAGGCAATGTGAAGTTGATCAAGATGCACAGATTTTCAAATTGTAACACAGACAATTTAATTCATGACACAGTTCTTCTGTGACCATTACCTACCATCTGTGTGGTAAGCAGGTGGGACACTAGATACCATTTGCAAACAACTATTTCCTTTTCAAGCAACCACACCACAGCCCAGTGCGCATACTACTGAGAGCTTAATTAGTTGCATAGTAAATACTTGTTAAATGTATACAAGATTAAAGAAAATGAAAACAATTCATAATAATTCCCAAAGGTAGTTCAGCAAGTGCCATAAAACATCATTACTGTCCAGGTTAGATTATCCAATCAAACAGAGATATGCAGGACATAGATTTTAAATTTTGTAATAGTCCAGTGTGCCACATGTTTTTAGACTTTAAATATTTGAATTTAGATTTGATAACTGTTGAGGTCATTTGAGTACTGAAAACTCATTGTCATGTTTCTTGAAACTGTTTTCAGGCAATTTCAGTTTTGCACCATAATTGTGCTGAAAGCAGCCATTAGAAGATGGGAACACTGTAGTCATAAAGGGATTCACGTAGTCAGCAACAATACTCTAGGTTGCTGCATTTAAATGACAGTTGATATTGTAGCACAAAGTGTATCAATGAAATAGCCCCAACACCATTACACCACCAGCAGACTGAATCGTTGATACACGGAAGGATGGATCAGTGCTTCTATCATGTTTGTTTGTGAAGCTATCATTCATGTCACAGCATAAAGTGAAAGTCACCAAACCAAACAACATTTTTCCAGTCTTTTGCTGTTGGTTTGCTCTTCTGCTGCTGCAGCCCATATGCTTTGAGGTTCAATATGTTGTGCTTCCATAGATGCTCTTCTGCATACAGTCTTGCAACTTTCTGGTTATAGGGAATGGTTGAGTTACTCTCTTCCAACCAAGAAATCTGGCCATTCTCCTCTGACCTCTAGCATCAAAAAGGCATTTTCAACCACAGAACTGCTGCTCACTGGATATTTTCTCTTTTTTGGACCATTGTCTATAAACACTAGAGGTGACTGTCTGGGAAAATCTGAGGAGTTTCTGAAATACAGGCCCATCTGGGACCACCAACCATGCCACATTCAGTCATTTAAATCACATTTCCTCCCCATTCTGATCCTCTGTTTAACTGTCAATGGATAATGAACACTTGAACAGGTAAATGTAATAAAGTGACCAATCTATTCACAAAACTGTGTGACATCTGTTTTTTTATTTTAATTTTTAGTATCAATTTTTCAGTCTCAGTAGTGAAGCTTTTTGGTTCTTTTACATCATAAACTGTCAAAAATTCATTGTCAGATTTATGTTGCATAACCATGTTTGATCGCTGCGAGAGAAAAATTAATTAATGAATAAACAAGATATATATCATGCAATGTTCAACAGTCAACTTATTTACTCAGTTGTTGAGCAGCAGAAACTGGAGGAAATTCACTGAATTTCCCCAAGACACTTGGGCTTGCATCAAGGCATTACATTTTACCAATGGCATCTCTAATTACTTTTGCACTCTTCTCCTAAAGTGCTTTTGCCATATCTCATCTCTCATAAACTCCCAGATGCACAATAAAGAAAAAAACTGTCAAAAATAATTCTCCAAAGCAATGTCATGTTGGAAGAGGCATCCCAAGAGAAAGTCTGCCAAACTGACAAATGTTTAGCACACAGTGACAGCAAGAATTGTTATGGGCACACTCTGATGTAGACAATCTCTTACAAACCAGTTCAGTCTTCATTTCCATTAAGTGGCACCAGATCATCAACCTTCTGTCATTTTCTCCTCTCACAGCCCACATGCAGATTTCAGTTTCACCAAGAGCATTCACGTGTCATGATTTTTATAGACAAAATAAATCACCTTCGTTTTAGGTTGTTTCTGTGATTCAGTATATAAACCAAAGTTATCTGATTTTTACGTTCTGGAGGGCGATAAATTCTTTCATGTGGAAAATAATGTAATGTGACAGGCTGAGTTTCTGCATACAGCCAAGTGGCTCCAAACTAGGTTGATAGAAACTCCCTATTTCCTCTCAATGATTTGTTGTTAACTGAACAACGAATAATTACATACTGTGAGAAAGCTACGGCTGTCTAAAATCAAAATTGTGGTTGCCAAACAGACAAATGTTCACATTCTTTTTTTTGACATAGCCAGAGATGTCAGAAGCAGAAGATAACTATGGAGATTTATTAAAGATTTGTAGCAAACCAACTGTGCTCTCATTTGCATCAAGTGGCACAGCGACTAATCTGCCAGCTCATCATCTTGCAGCCAAATTTCAGTTTGTCAGTCATAGAATTTAGCCACAG